CTTATCCTGGTCAATATCATTTTTGTACAGAGCCCACGTAGACCAGATTGGGTACCGGAAGGCGTTTTCTGATGGAATCTTAGAAGGCTTGTTAAAGTACCTGCGCACCATGTATTTGTGAATGGAGGTCACATCCGAGCCAACGCAGACACGGTAGCTCAGCTCCGGGAAAGGCTGCTGCCCAAAGGGAGGTTTGTAGGGAGAATCCTTATATCTGGCTTGAAAGAAGAGCGACCGTTCACTGGCGTTAAACCCCAGGTGGAAGGGCACCAAGTCATTGATCTTTATAGCCGCCGCTTTCGAGGACAGCCAGTACCTTTCCAAGATGCCTCCAAAGCTGCCCCTGAAGGAATACACGTCGCTCGTCACAAAGGGCATGGGCTCCTGGTACCCTGGGAGTCTGATTGGCCAGTGCTGGACGCTCATTTCACAGCCCCCGTACCAGTGAGCGTCCTCCCAAAACATGGTGTGCTCAACCACCGTGTCCACCACAAACTCCTCCCAGCGGACGCGGTAGCACATCACCGTGTCCTTGGGCTTGACCGTCTGAATGAAGAAATTCAGCTTCCCTCTGTCCGACCTGGTGCAGGTTAAAATTTCCCCTTCTTTCGAGCAGGACTCCAGGTCAAGGGTGCCCGACTGGAAGGCCAGTCTGAAGACCACCTCCCCGTTGTGGTTTTTGATGATGAACCCATCCTTCCTCAGGTCCATCAATTCCATCTTTAGCCGCTCTGCCTTCCTGATAGACGCCATGTAGTAGCACCAAGCCACCACCGCCGAAATGAACAAGATGAGCCCGACAAGTAGTGCACCAATCATTGGCTTCCGCTCCTTGGACGGCTTCGGCTTCCCCGGGGTGAAGCTGTCAGGCAGGTGTGTTCCCATGGCATTCCCCTTTTCAGAGCTCCGGTTCTTTCTTAAACGATGAAAGGGCTGATTTTCCATGAGCCCCTGAAGCCAAACCTTGTGGCCAGGAGCTTTGTTTCTTACTGTGTTGTTCTTCTCTGGCTCGTCAAGGAGAACTACGAACAGGAGAATCAGTCAGTCATAGTGTGCCCTCCAAACCCATTCAGTCCTGCGGCACTGATCCCTGACACAGCACTGGGGTGAAATGTTACAATCATCAACTAAATGAATCTGGTGAAGAGTCCCTGTCCGTGCTGTTTTCACTTGCAGCTCTGCTCCAGTCTGGTACATTCTGTTCACTGGCAGCTGAGCGAGGGTTATTATAATACCACTTTCTCAGCCGTGGGTATGCCAAGGTTCCCGTGAGCTCTTGGCTGCAATGTGGCTCGGCTCAGCCAAGCTGGGAGGAGGGGATGAGACAAAGCTAGCGCACCGGGGAGAGGCAGACAGGGCTCTACGGAGAAACATGGGTAGGTAGCCGAGAATTCAGGCTGGAAGCTCCGCAATGATCTCGGGCTTCTTGTCTTTTGGTCAAGTAGATTCCTGGATGTATTTTCCCCACCCTGCCTGTATCTCTCTGCCTTCATGCTGTAGTAAGTGTGAGCATGCTGGCAGTTGGGTATCCACTTCCCTGGACCAGTTACAAAGAAGTGATGCATCATTTCTGAGGGGACCTGGTAATCACAGCCATCTAGTGGCATGAAGGTTAATTGTCTGTCTGCACTTTGCTCCCTGAACGCCATTGAGCTGCTAAAATAGGAAGGCGCAAGCTCCCACAAGAGAGCTATTTATAGCCTCACCGTGTAGGCCCTGATGCAGCAGCTTGGTTGTAGGACACAAACAGGTCCGGCCCCTCAGACTGAGGGTTCGCCGAGGGCAGGTTCAGTTTGCTGACTGGCAGAATCGCAGGTGGCGCCGGACCATTCAGCCAGGTAGTGGCGTATGGCGCTATCAGCGCCGGCAGGTGTCTCCTTCTCCATCAGCGCTGGAGGCCGGTCTCCACTCGTTCACACTAGCCCAGCTCTACTAGCTGCAGGGGAGTGGCTCCCGGTTTACCTCAGGGTCAGTGAGAAAAGGTGCAGTGTCATTGGGGTAGAGGGGAGTGTGTGTCCCACTGTCAGTGGAAAGAGGGTTTGACAGGAACCTCGAAGGAGAGCAGTGTGGGAGGGAAGATTTCCAGGGAAAGCGTACGTGGGTTTTTAACTGGGATTGCCGTAATAGAAGGAATGTGTTCATCGTAGAAATGTCGGGCTGGAAGGGCCCTTGAGAGGTCATCTAGTCCTGCCCCCTGCACAGAGACAGGACCAAGTAAACCAAAACGAGTGGTTCTCAATCTTTTGGGGCTCAGGACCCATTTGTAAATGTTTACGGCCTTTTGCAATCCAGTAACTAGTCTGGTGGTGGAGGCCCTTGGGTGGTTTTGGTCGGATCCGGTCTCCCGCAGGGGTTGGATATAATATGATAGATATACCTATCTTATAGAACTGGAAGGGACCCCGAAAAGTCATCAAGTCCAGCCCCCTGCCTTCACTAGCAGGACCAAGTACTGATTTTACCCCAGATCCCTAAGTAGCCCCCTCAAGGGCTGAACTTACAACCTTGGGTTTAGTAGGCCAATGCTCAAACCATTGAGCTATCCCTCCCCCTCACTGAGCTGTGTAAAAACTAATGAGTTTTAGAAATCAGATCTATCTATCACTTCTTAAATGTTTTGTCAGATTTATCAATAAAGGAACAAAACAAAACAAGGCTTCCACAGAGATCTACTAGCGCAGCTTGCGGAGGTCTGGTTAAGAAGCAAGTCCTCAGAAACATCTTGTGGGTGATGATGGGAAAAGACAATAAGCTTGACCATCTTAGCTACGCAACAAGTGTCTCAAAGTGTTTTTCCATCGTTCTTAATGACATCAGCAGCTCAACAGCGTAATACTAAGCTACTTGAAGGTCCATTAAAAATGCCATAAATCAGTCATTTCACTATCCATCAGAACGGTTTCCAAGTGACCTAAACGATCTGCTGTGGTCTTAATAAGATCTCAGAAAAGAAAAGATATTTTGGCTCATCTTTGTACAGCCTGGGCTTTGCAGCCCTGAGGCCTGAAATGGAAAAAAGATCAGCACTGAAAAAAAGATAATTTCTTCTGTCTAACTGACGTGGCCCTGGAGGTACCTGGAAATGGGGAGCGAGTGAGTTGTATTCCAGTAGTACCCGAGAGCTCCAGTCATAGTCCAGTAGCCCCATTGTTCTCGATTTTATAGGGACAGTCGCAATTTTTGGGTCTTTTTCTTATATAGGCTCCTATTACCCCCCACGTCCATCCCGATTTTTCACTTTTGCTGTCTGGTCACCCTAACGGTGCTGCGCAAATACAAGGAACAAAAGAGTCTCTGCTCCAAAGAGTTTACGATCTAGGCATTTTCTATACCTTGAAAGTAATAAACAAGACAAAAATGGGGAGCAGGAAATAAACCCACAAGCTCAGGAGTTTTAGCACCAATCAGTGGGGGGACAGCATGCCTGGGCCTGGCCAATAGGAAAGACAAAACCCATCAGCACTCCTCCCCTTCCAACTTCCTTGAGACTAGGGCTTTTGTTTCGTGGTTGAAAAATTCCCTAACTGGAAATGTTTATGAAAATGTTTTGGATTTTTTTTCCCCAGAAAAGTTTCTATTCCCCCCTCCTCTCCCCCCCCCCTCCACTGAAACAGGAAAACTAAACAAAAATAGTCTTTTATTTTTTATTTTTTCAGTTCATCATCTTTTTTTTAATGCACTTCCCCCCCCCCCCATTTTCGGTGGCAACGTGGAAAGGGTGAGAAATGGGAGGCAGCAAGAAAAAGGGGGAAATGAAGAATTTCAAAACTAGTTTTCAATAAAACTTTGAGGGAAAACTTGTCCCCCTTTCAAAACCTGCGGAACAAACCAATGTTTCAATTATATTTTTCCCCTTCCACTTTTCAATCATCTCTTCTCCCACCCCAGCCTTATGGTGCCCTCCCTCCTGCTGGGGGCAGGGGGCAAGGCACAGGCTCCTTGGGGTAGCAGGCCCCATACGCCCAGGGGCACAATGTCACAGAAGAACCTGCTGCATGTGGCTCCACACTGCCCCCTGCAGTTCTCAGTAGCACAATTTAGTCATCAAGGCGATGATGGGAGCTGTCGCGGGAGAGGTTCTCAAACCAGCAGCAGGATCTCTTGGAAAAGGAGGAGCGGGGAGCCGAGTAGAGAGAAAGTGCCTGATTTGCCAAGTGCAGCTTCATGGATGTGAACGGAATCACTGGGTCTCCTGATTTGCACCGGTGCACATGGAATCAGAATCAGACCCAATGTGCATGAGGGAGCCTGGGGCAGGCCCCAAGCTGGAAATGTCTGTCCTGTGAGTCTGCCTAGCACCATCCTCCACCCTCCATCCTGAGTTCTCCTGAGGGGCCTTTGTTCCTTAGGGCTGGCACTGGAAAGAACAGCCTCAGCCCTGGGAGTTTGCAATTTGCCCTATTTCTGTGTCCTTGAAACCTTCCGAAAGGCTTTCTGTGTCAGCAGGGAAGGGGGCGGGGGGGCAGCTGCTGGAGAGCTTTGCTGGGGACAGAAGATGGGCCCATCCCTCTTCCACCCTGACAGCGCCAACGATGGCATGTGACAGCCCTGACAATCTCCCCGCAGCAGCTGTGCCCATCTGTCAGCGGGGATCCGGACACCAGCGCTCGCCGAGCTGCTGCTGTCCTGGTGTCACGGGTGGGACCTCTCGGTTAGCTGGCAGATTTCTGCAGCAGCTGCCGGAATCCATCATCCAGTTCCAGGGCAGTAGAGGCAGAAGGGCGGAGGGGAGAAGAGTCTCATCCATGCTGAAGGGGCGAGTGCTCCCGGTGCCCGTGCTCTGCATGAAGGTAATGGGGGTTGGGGCGATGAGGAGCAGAGCACAGACTCGGCACCTTTCAAACCAACAGGCTTGGACAGCAGCAGCATCAGTACCAACGACGCCTGCAACCTTCCATTCAGAATCCCCAAGGGCCTTGCAAACATTAACCAGTTAAAGAATGGTGATGGTGAGAGGCGGCTGGTTCCAATCCGACCCCGGCTAGCCGTGACCAAACAGGCAGTTGCTCTGATGGCTACTTGGAGCAAGTGAAATAAGTTTGGTGGGTCATAGTCTGCCTCCCGGTCGGGAGGTGTCCAAAGCAACAAACCCTTCCTTCTGGGATCACAGGCTGGCCTGGATCTTTCAGACTTCTTCATAACCAGATTAGATACAGAGTGCTGACCGGACAGATGGAAACACTCCACTAGGAGGTGCTATAGATGGCTATAAGAAGACTGTTGGAATCTATAACAATTAATTTACCATTTATTAACACCGCTATTAATCATTTATTAGCCATTTATCAACTAGTGCTAGATGGAACCTTAATATAAAGTATGGCCAAAAGCATATATACTTTCCCACAGCGGTCTGGCATATCGGGTAGCTATGGCTGGCGCGTAACTTCATGTTACGGGATTTATTATTGAAGGAATTTGGAAGCATGTTTCTTCACCAGTCTCTTTCCTGTGTGTATAGCTGACATGATAAAATAGGTATCGGCGATCGCCAGGGATAGGGGGGAAAGCCAAGTTTATCACAAGGGATGCTGCCAGGCTACAACGACCACGCGCTTCGCATGAGCAAGAGATAAATCATAGAGTGGATACAGATGGTGCAGTGACATTCTCAAGGACTATCTATGAGCTATAAGGATGGAGAATAAGGACACCTGCTTCTCTGTTAATAACAATACGTAGCACTTATGGAGCGCTCTGCCATTTCAAAGCAGTGTGTGAGCATTAACTAACCATTCCCCGCAGTGTCTCCATGCAGCTACTAAGTAGCAGGGTTGTCTTTAAAGGAGCTGTTCCTTTCCTACCAGGATGCTGTGAGATCTCTTGTTCCTCTCAGATGTCTCTAAGAAAACTCAGTGCTGGAGACATGTGCCTGACCAACAGCACTAGAGATTCATACCTGTGGCTGTCCAGAACAGGGATAACAAGGGCAGTGGCAGTGCACGCTTCCACTACCTCCCTACCAATGTGTTTCACTGCTGTCTTACAGTGATTGCTGCTATACCCAGAGGGGAAATGGGAATTCAGGCTCCCTGGTCCATGCCGTCCTTGGCCTCTCTGCCCAGACTCTCAGCCAGGTGCAAATGGCCACTTGTGATGTGGATACTTAGACTGAAACCATTATTTGCTGTAATGAGCCGTAAAACCAGTGTCCCTGTTGAGTCTGTGGTTTTTAGTGTCCAGCAGAGTTATGAATTGAAATTCCCGGGCTCATCTTTTG